CACTCATTCAGATGCTGAACCCAAGCCAAGATATTTCCAAGTTGAACCTGTGACACTTTTCTAAACTTAAGGAACATAAAAGCAACAAAATAAAAAGCAGTGACATTTTCCATGCGAGAGACGAAAGATGCCCACTTCATATTTTATTTATTTATCCAAACTAGTGTGAATTATTCATTAAAGTTGATGCAAGTGTTTGAAAATACAAGATGTTTGAAGGCAAGTTATTAACAAGAGGAAGTTAATAAGTTGAAGATATGAATTTCTTAACAAATTGTGATTTTTTTTTTTTTTTTTCACAGAGGATTTTTCCCATGATCCTTTTTGGCACAGTCTGGATTTTGGAGGACTTGCCCAAAATATAAAGCAGTCCCTGGTAGTAGGATGTTAGAATTCATTCTCATGCTTTCTACTCCTCTCACTCCCTATCCTTTTCTTAAGCAAAAATAAACCACCACATTTCTTAACTTTGGCTGAAGAAACAAGCAAGGCTTAGACCTAGCAAGTATCCTCCCTTGAGTTTAAAGTTTCTTGTTGTCCCAGTAGGACAGCTGTCTGCAGGAAAGGCTGTTGTTCCCTCTCATGGACGTTGGACGCTTCTGCAGTATGCACCTCCTGCATCCCAGAGTTCCTGAGATTCAGCTTGCAACTCCTCCTGGCCACTTGTGCAGGAGCAGGGGTGTCAAACAGCATGCACCAAACAGAGATCTGAGTTTTCAAACACTGTCTTTTAAAGATATAATTAAATGTAATTCTTGGGATGTTGTGAAAGAACTAGAGATTCCAGACACTCGCTGTTCTGTAGGTGGCATTTGGAGCGGGTGGCAGAGCTAATGGTGTAATGAGAAAAACCTGCTCTGCTAATATATCTCGATCCTCCCCTCCCCAGACAGGACACTTCTTTGTCAAACTTTCTGCGTAGCCATGTCTTGAGCTTTTTCCCCTAACGTGTTGATTTCCCCCCCCACCCCATGCTAATTGCACTTTAAAGTAGGCTGGCCTGCCTACAATAATGTAGGCAAAGCCTGACAATTATATGTGCAACTGCGTCTCAGGAACAAAGCATAGGATGAGTTGTCTCCAAGGTTAACACCTTTATTTGGGGCAGAAGATATTAGTAAGGAGATCAGTTAATATCCCTGTAGAGAGATATATTAGGTATTTATATAGCATTCATTACTGTAGTGCCTGGGTACCTCCAGAATGGTTCATGAATGTAACATACTTATCCTCAAAGCATCCTTGTTTAGTAGGCCCTGCTCTTATCTTCATTTTGCAGATGGAGAACTGAGGCACAGGGAAATTAAGACTTGTCCACATTTTTCGCATTACAGGGCTGCAGCAGAAGCCCCTAATAATGATGCTGCACATGGCAACAGAGGGGGCTTTTGGCTAGCTTTGCTCCACTACCTCTTCTAGTGACAGAAGGCATCTCTTGTAGGCAGAGCCACATCCAGACTGAGGGTTTGCTATTATAATTGTGATGGCAAGGGGGTGTATTATTTGCACACCTGTAGCTGAGATGGTAAAGTTTTGTAGCACAGATCAAGCTTACACAACTTAGCAAAGTCAGACAGGAAATTTGCAGCAGAGTAAAGATTGACCCTGAATCTCCTGAGCTCCAGTATAACACCCACCCAATGGGTCTCCCTGCCAGAAGGGCCTCTTCCACCAGCAGGCCTCCGCTGGAGGATGGAGCACTTAGAGATGTGGGTTGCAGCCCTCTTTGCAAAGAGATATTTGTGTGATAAGAAATAAAGGCAGAAAAGACAAACAGGAACTGTAGTTTCCTGCAAATCACCAAAGAGAAGGGCAAGGTGTGGGGGCGAGAGCACTTTGGGATGATCTTGGCAGGAAATGGAAGTCCTGCTGTTCGGTATCTGTGGGGGGCACAGCTGAAACGATACCACAGTGTGATTTTTCTACAAGTGGCAAAAAGGGTGATCTGCACTGTATGACTGGGGTTTAGTCTCACTTTCTGAAATAGCACTGAAGGCATTTTGTCTCTATGTACCCTTGCAGCTAAGCCGTGTTCAGTTGCTGTACCAATTGCTGATACCTGTTGCCTGCAACAGGTCATTTTCCCTGTGTTTACAAAAACCCTTTGACAAGTGTATCTGGAATGATGATAAGACAAACCCATCAAGGCGACCTGGAACGTATAACAGGAACAACACAGAGGGAAGGATCCAACAGGCTAGGTCAGAGGAAATGAGTGCTCGCTAGAGCTATAAGCCTCTTGTTCTTCCCGTAAATCTTAAGATGTACCTTCCAGGCCAAGTCCCAGGCATGGGACTAGGTGCATTATGCCAAGTGCTGCCTTTGTCCTAGCCTAAGAGACAGTGGGTAGGGGTGGGAGGCATGACAAGATTCTTGATGAGAAGGTTTTGAACCCAGAAGTCCTTTCCCATAATGTGAGTTGGTTGCAGGACTGCAGCCCAGTGGACACACTCTAGTTGTCGAACGCCTACTATGTTAGCCAAGTTTAAAGGACAAACAGTGATAGAGGCACTCGCTGTACATTATTACATCAGTCAATAACAAGAATCCTCAGTTATGTACAGAGCTGTTCAACCAGTTCATGAATTAGGGCCACTTCTACCTCCTGAGATTATAAAAGTCAGGAAAGGCAGCTTTTCCGATCAGCTGGAAAGAGGCATATTTACTTCTCCAAGGCTAGACTTTGCTTATTAGAAAAAATTTAATTTTATCCCCATTGGACATCTGAGATATATTAAAGCCAATGCCACCTCTGACAGTGGTGAAATATTACTCACCACTGAAATGTGGTCAGTGAATTTTTACTTTTATACGTAGGGATTTTCTCTGTAACAGTTCTGTCTTGGGAATGCATAGCTGAATGAAGATGGTGAGAATATTGAGGTCAGAGTGGCCAATTAACCTTCTGATTTCAGAGGATGATTACTCGATTAATCAAGGGGGGCCAGGACCAACCAAAATGATGGGGAAAGGTTGTAGCTGCAAAATAACAATCGCAGGACCGACTCTGGTTGTACAGTGATGAATGTGACTGAAAGTTAAAGCAGGTGGTCAGGAGATGCACAGCCCTTGCAAGCCACCGGCAGGTGCAATGCATCAGTCAGCAGGAGAGCCTCTTGCTCGTGTGGACAGGATTTTGAAGCATGCCACTTGCCTTGTCTTCCTGCAGTGATTGCTAGTTGCTTTTTATAGCAACACTTCAGTGAATGAGTTTGCACGATACATTTCCCAGGGCCCGGCGGATTCATCTGCTGAAGCAGAGTTGGAGTGTGGGGATGGGGGTGATCTAGGATTGATTAAATAGGAAGCCTGCAGGCTTGTCTACACAAGGACAACCTGGAAATTAACTAAAGATGTGGCATCGCAGTGTGTTAAGCTTCTGTCTGCATGCTTTCATTAGCTAAATCCGGAAAAGTCTCTGAAGATTTAAGCTAAAGCAAACAAAGGCTGCTGGACCTCTGCGGGAGAGTGTTCACACTGGGGTTTAACGCACTTCAACTTCACACCTTGAGTTAATTTGTCTGGACTCACCTGAGTGTTTCTCCATACATCTGCCTTCGGTAAACCCTCCTTCCACCCACAATGCCCTGGCAGAGTATTGTAGAGTGGCAGGAGAGGCCCAGACTACTCTTGTGCTTCTTAAGCAGCCTGGAGATTCAGGTGGATCAAATTGGAGCTGCATTAGCACAGATCACGGATATGCCATGGCCTTTTCTGACCCAGGTGCTTGTCATTACATCTCCTCATGTATGTCTACACTGAAGCCAGGAGATGGGACGGCAGCATGTTCAGGCAGACCAGGCTGGCTACTTCTGGTGACAAGAGCAGCAAAGAGTCTGCTCAGCCTGGGCTTCAGCTCAGGCTGCATGAGCCAGACTGGTACCCTTGGTATGTGTTCAGGCAGTTGCCTGTGGTGAACTCCGTGCTGTCATGGCAGCTCTGTTATTGATACCCAAACCAGCCAAATAAAAACCAGCCTGTGCTGCAGTTACTCCTCCAAGTGTAGTATAGACATCATCTGAAACTGCGGGTGACAAAGAGGAGGCAGGAATTCTCCATTTGAGAGTCTGTGTATTTGCTGTTAAAAAGTGCAAGCCTTTTTCTAACCCTGGACTGCAGTGTTGGTGAAACAGGCTGACTGGGGAGGCATCTCAAGTGTCTATTTAAGTAAAGCCAATCTCTGTAATTAATGGGGGGATAAATCAAGGTTTAATTACTCGGAAGGCACCTTGGGTGAAAGATTCATGGTAATTGTTGTGTATCCTCTTGAAGGATTCACAGTACTGGCGGCTCCCTTTGCAGCAATAAAACACGGGGTGAGTGGCAGGCAGCCCCCGAGGCCCTCTTTTCTAGGGACTAGTCCAGTTAAGGCAGCAAATAGAAAGAGACAGTAGTGCTCTTCAGGCTTTTTGTAACAATAAAAGCCCCTTCCCCAAGTCTTAGGGGATTGCTAGACAGTGTGACAATTTGAGACCAAAGCACTTACAGTCAAATCAAGTGTGCATTGAAGAAGATTTCCCCTGTTATTGTCTTCTGTCACACATGTTTCCATACAGTAGTATTTGCAACAGCTTTTTTGTTTTCCTGCTCAGAAACTTATCCCTTTTTCTTGGGCTCTCTAGAGGAAATGGAAACTGAAGAGGGGAAGGGTGTAGATTTGAATGTTGTAGCTTATTTTTAAAAGATGAACCAAGCAAAAGACAAATCCAGCCCTTGTGGAACTTGTCTGTTTCTTCAGATCCCAGTTTAACATCTTTTATTGACCCTAAAATATGCAGCTCAACTATGGGTTATCCTTGCTTGGCTGCGGGAGAGCCCTCAGTTCATTGGATTTCTTAGACACTGCTTGCTTGTTCTTTTTCTTATTGGGGTAACCCTTGCATCTCACTTGCCTTAGCTAAATGCATAAATAAGGTGCAAGTCCCACTTGATGGTTATGTAACATAACAAAATGCCTTCTCCCTTCCCTTCTCTCTCCACATCCCTGCCTCTCTCCTTAGAGCTTAAGAAGCAAGTGGAAAGTGCAGAACTGAAAAACCAACGGCTGAAAGAGGTTTTCCAAACCAAGATCCAGGAGTTTCGCAAGGTGTGCTACACCCTGACTGGGTACCAGATTGACATCACTACTGAGAACCAGTACCGGCTCACCTCCATTTATGCTGAGCACCAAGGGGATTGCCTGCTCTTTAAAGTAAGTCTGGACTCCCCTGCTCCACCTGACTCTTTGTGTTAATAGCACGTAGCCCACAAGGACATGCTTTCTTTTTTAATTGCTAAAGAATACAATGTCAGTAGCCCTGTTACACAACACTTTTCCCACGCGTTTGGCCACCTTCCTGATTTGATTACAGTGAGGAGGCAGAGGCTTCCTCATTTTCAAAAAATCTGTGAAAAGATTTTGGGTCTGTCTCATTCTTCTCATTACCTCACACCTGAGTAAATTGGGAAAAACTTAACTGAAGCCGGTGGAGTTGCACAAGAGTTTAAAAAAAAATGTCGGTAGGAATCTAGGCTTGGATCTCACCTTTTCCTGCCATCAGTGATATATACTGGAGCAGTTTCTTCTTACCCTCTGTGCGCCAGAGGAATGTATGAACACAAGGCTCATCTTCCTAACCAGGAGAGGTTCTCACCCACTGAGGTAAGGGTCCAGTAATCCCATCTGCTCCTCTGTTTCAGGGTGTTTTTTGTTCAAATTGGGCTTTCTCCTAGAGCTAGCACATATGGCCTGAAGGAAGTTCTGACAATGGAGACTCATCAAAGCATTAAACACGTTAGAGCTGTATGGTAAAAGATCTCAGTTACACAGGATGAGAGATGGTTGTTAGTTCAGAAACCATCATGCTCTTTACATTCATTTACTCCAGATTAATTAGAATGCAAAAAAACCTGCCAAAGTCAGCTACAGATGCAAGTCCCCTGCATTCATCGTTCCTCTTTTGCAATTATCCTTTGAAACTCTGGAGCACTCAAACTTTATAGTTAGTTGGAGCGGGGTTTCTGAGTAGCTTTCTGGCATAAAAAATAGTAGCTGAGTACAGGCATAAGAGGTGAAGGCTATTTGTACTCTCCTGGCTAATAAAAGTTGTTTTTTTAATGACTTCCAATGGGGATTGTTTATGATAAGGTCTTCCAACGGATCATAATGTTAATCACATTGTCTTCCCTTTTCTGTTCTAAAACTCACTTCTTTGAGGATCCTTTTAAACAATAGTCTGGGTAAAGTTAAGAAAACGGGAACATGTGAAACCACCAGTCAGGCAAACTCCAGCCTGTATCTGTCATCACTTCCTGTTCTTGTTTTAACGTCAGTTGTATTCTCTTTGGGACAGGGTCTCATCCTTATTTGTGCTGTGTCGCCATACATATGTGCTGTGCGTGTTGAAAGCATGGACAGATAATAACCATCATTTCCTACTCTAGACCAGGTTAAGTGCCGTAGTGGTCTGGCTGAATGGTTTAGGGTGGAGCAGAGGTTTGATGGGCACTGCCTTCCTTGCACATCTGTTATCTTTGAGGGTAAAAAGAGTTCAATTTGAGTCGGTTCTGATTCACCTGAGTCACAGCCTGGGAACAAAACAGCCCTGCACACATTCAGCATGTCCATGAAATGAATAGCAGTTAACTTGAATTAGCTGTAGTTGTCCGAGGAAAAGTGTTGTCAGATCCTTCGCAGGGACAAGGGCTTGTAGCCTGTAGGATCCCAAGGTAAAAGTCTTTGTCCCTGATGACATCTGAGGTCTGTTTTTTCCCTGAGAGAGCTGAGGTGTTATATCAGCCTTATCAAACTATTTAGTTGTATCCTTACATTGGGATTACATTTGATGCTATCTGCTTTATTTCTCTATATAGTAAAATATCTGTCTTCCCGAGTATACACTTCTCCTATCATGAAATTTAGGAGGGTTTTTGTTTTGCTTTAAATTCTGTTTTTATTACTCCATTCTAAACTGTAAAGTCACATAATCAGAAGTGAAGAGTTAAAAGCAGACTCCCATCTCCCCCAGTGTCTCATTGCTGGCTGGAAGAGCAAACAGATAGCACCTTGGTCTGCTCAGCAAGTGCAAACAGCCCAAGTTTACAGTGCAAGCAGGAGCACTTCCCCTTTCTCAATGGCAGCCATAATTAGCACTTAAAATCATATCTGCTTCCAGCTGATCCCACTAGGGTATGTGTCTCATTTGCAGGAAGGATGAGGATGCCTGAGGAGTTCAGTAGGGGAGGCAGAAGTGCAAGCAGAAGCTGGAAAAGTTTGGCTTCAGCAGACTTAATGCCACATACAGAGTATGGAGTGCTGGGGTCTTATTTCTTTAGGTAATGAGACTGGTAGATTCTTGTTACTACACATTAGAGCCCCAAAAGAAAACTTACCAACAGAAAGGGTTTAAGGGTTAAAGTAAGACAGCAGCTAAGAGGCTTGGTTGAACTAAGATAAGGCCAAGTGTAGTAAAATGCTTGTCTTTATGGGCTTCTGATTATGTCCTGTTGCCTCCTGCATTAGCCAGGGAAGAAAAAGAACACAGGGCATGCTCGGCACATCGGAGAAACGATCCCCAATTCCACCCCCTCCGCGCTTGTGCATTTTCAGGAAGTGCCTGAAAGCATTAGACAGCGAAGATGGAGCAATGAAGGCAGCTTTCGCGCCTCTGGAATCCTGCATTCAAACGTGCCTTGTCACAAGGTGAATGAAGTTTGACTCATCCTCGCACTGAGTCATCTTTTGTCTGCATCAGCCCCAATTCCATCCACCTTAGTCCAACCTGCAGCCCATTCAGTAAGGAAGGCAGGGGTGGTAATAACAGCAGTGTTACAGGCTGGTCTGGGCTGAACACACCAGCCAGCTGCATATGTAAAGATTACACGCTGCCCACCTGAATTAAGCCTGGCCGGCGTTGTCGTTCATTTGCCTCCACTAGTACCAAGTTTGACTTCATGCATTGTCCAAATAAACAGGTCAGCTGCTGAAGCGTGATAACTGAGCACAAGTTCTTATCTTTATCTCTAAATACTGCACCTCCCTCACTTAAGGTTTCCTTCCCAAGAGTTTCCCCAGTACTAAATTCAGTGTCACCAAAGTGAGCGGTGGAAGTTTAGAGTTCCTGCTTTTGCAGGAAGTGCCTTCATGGAACCATCTCCACGATCGCATCGATCGTGTTGTAGGATTGCCATACCTGTCTCGCCTCATCTCTCAAAGTCAAGGGATCAGTTGTCTTTATACAGGAAGAGCAGATGTGCTGATAGGTGCTCCAACTACAAAATATTACTCTCTTTCCATGTCTTTTCGTAACCAATTGCACCCCCAAAGCCACTGGTCACAATTAAGAGCAAAGTATACACAACAGATTCTTCTTTGGCTCAGTCCAGGCTGCTGATGCCTGTGCACACCTGAAGATGCAGATTATGGATTCTCAGTGGGATTGTATGTTTAGTCTGTAGACTCTTTGAGCCAGAGCCAACTGTGGGTGTTCTGCCTGCTTTTCATTTACCTGAAGAGGTGACAAAGCAGGAAACGCTGCTTGTGTTCATGCCGTTCGTGCAATTTATGGAACAGGTTCTATGTAATTAAACCAAACAAGTCCCTTGGCATTTTACAAGCTTCTGCAGCTTGCCCATAACCTTTAGGGTATGTTTCAGTAGCACTGCTGGTGGCATTTAATTTTCTGTAAGACTTCAAGAGTCAGATATGCAAGAGTAGCTACTATGATGTAGCTGAAGGTACCTGAAAAAAGTGCTGTGTATTTCCAATCAATGGATGCCTGTTTCCAAAATGCTTAGTATGCTGTAATTACCAATCAACTCAAATTAAGTGGAGAGTGGTGCTGGACCACACAAAGCAGCAGTGAAAGAGTTAAATTGGAATGGTGTGATATGAAAAGTAGAGCCCATATCCCCAAATGAATACTGAATTCCAGTGAATCCTTTATCAATATTTATTGGAGATCCCTCTGGACACAACAGATGAGCTCATCAAGTTGAAGGATATTACAATGATTTCAGAACCCCTGTGTGTGAGAGTGCGTAGGCAGAAAGGCACATCTCAAACTTCACAGCTCGCATGGTCTTGCTCGCTCTATTTCTCTGTGTTTTTTTTTTTTTAATTAAATGCTGTGGAATGTCAAGTACAGACTCCTCACCAGGATTTTAGTTCAGATGATTTTGCGGATGGTAATACATTACAATTACCGAGTTACTTGGCAGCTTCATATTCTATTACGGTTGCTGGTTCATTAGATACTTTAGTTTGTAATACATATTCTTTGCATTCTGCATAAGTGCCTGGAATATATATCTCAGCAAAGCAGCCCAAAGTGAGATACCTAAGTTGTACTCATTTTATTTAGTTCTTTCATTTTCCACCTCCATGAAAACATACCAGTTTCTCTACAACAATTATATGTTAGAGATGCCTGTTTAAAGTAAAATCAGATATGAAATGACCAAGAGAGCACCCATAATTCAGTTTAGTTGACATTGGTTTTAAGCTGGAGTGTAGGTGAAGATGGCAATATTTGGGCATGCATGTAGCATGATATTGAACCCAGTCTTTGGATAGATCCTAATCAAAGAGTAGAGGGCTAGAGAAGGACAATGAAAATGGTTAGAGGAAGAGAAGTATGAAAGAGGCATACAAAATAAAGAATAGCATAGGGAAATTATGTACCATTTTTAATAGCCCAAGAACATGGGACTGATCCAAGAAGTTGAAAGTCTATACCTTTAACACCAGTGAAGGAAAGTATTTTGCTACACAATACAAAAGTTAACTTGTGGAAGCAGCTGCTACAAACTACCCTTGGAAGTCAAGAGTTGAGTTGGCTTCAGAACAGGGTTAGACGAGACCAATGAGTATACTCACATTTACACTAAATAGGAAAACTGGGAAGTGTAAAACCATTTGTTTCAGGCCAGAAGACAGTCTCTAAGAAAGCTAGAAAGAAGCTCTCTCTCCCTGTAGATAGGCTATTGCAGAATGATCTCTGACATGGTTTCTTGCACCTTGCTCTGAAGCCTCTGGTACTGGTTTCTGTGGTTGACAGGCTGCTGGGCTGGACAGGCCATTGGCCTGAGTCCTCATGAAATGTTCTGTATTCCTGTGTGCAATCTGAGTGATTACCTTGCTGGCTCTCAGCGCCTGTGCTTGGTCAATAATGGAAGGTCTGCCTCCTCTAATCATCCTTGGGTCCTATTGTC